ACTGTAGCAAGTCTAAAACATCAGGGCAATCTTGCCCTAACTGCCACCAGAGATGCTCATAAAGCTTTATAGCTTATGGCATGATGGCCTTATATACAAACTTATTGACCTACCAGACCATAACTGGACTTTTCTCAGATTAATATATAATTTCTTAACTCAAAGAAAAATCATTCCTACTTTTCATGGCAGGTCGACAGAGCCTTTTATACCAACAGCTGGTGTCCCACAAGACTATTGTCTTAGTCCAATTCTCTTCAACATTTATGTGAATGACCTTCCTCAACCAGAGTTTAATGGTACAATTATAACGCAATTTGCAGATGATGTTATCCATGTCGTCTCATCAACTCCGGTAACAGGAAAATACAAGTATGAGAGAGTCATAGAGAAAATGAATATTGAACTTCGTCGAACATCTAATTGGGAAAAGAAATGGAGAATTACGACTAATCCTGACAAAGTCCTTGTTAGCACGATATGATGTTTTGCATCAACCATCGAAGATAAAGGGGGTATCTCCATCAGAGGTACACCTGTAGCCGGTGGTCTGGTAGTGGCCCGGTGGTCTGGTGGCTAAAACTCCCGCTTCACACACGGAGGGCCCGGGTTCGATTCCCGGCGGGTGGAAATTTCGACACGTTTCCTTACTTACACCTATTGTCCTGTTCACCTAGCAGCAAATAGGTGCCTGGGTGTTAGTCGACTGGTGTGGGTCGCATCCTGGGGGACAAGATTAAGGACCCCAATGGAAATAAGTTAGACAGTCCTCGATGACGCACTGACTTTCTTGGGTTATCCTGGGTGGCTAACCCTCCGGGGTTAAAAATCCGAACGAAATCTTATCTTATCTTATCTTAACAAGATCTTGGGATAGGAAATAGACAGGCTGCTCCACTCAACATCTAATGTAAATAAAAAGATCAACATAGCCAAAGCCAGTCTTAGCAGTCTCTTTCGATTCAATCAAGCCCCTCCACATGTCAAAAAACATCTATATAAAACGATAATAAGACCTATACTCGAATATCCATGGGTCCCAATGACATTAACAACAAAGACCAACATGCTACGGTTGCAACGGGTCCAGAATAGAGCTCTTCGCTTCATTACGGGTACCAGGAGGAGAGACAGAGTTAAAATGGCAGATTTACACGTACAACAAGATATTACTGCCTTAAATGTACGCCTTGACACCATGAAAAAGAAACAACTCTATGCAATGCAAGAACTCTACATGCCAGATAGAGAACATCCTCTACAAGTTGTAAATACCACGGATTATATCATCAATACTTCTCCTCACAAGACTCAAAGAATGACTCTCCCACAGAGGGTCCGTCGTTTTATCCATAAAGATGATTACCATGACCCATGATATTGAGCAACCTCCTATGAAGTGATTGGGTAACACCAGAACCCTTCTATGTTTACTGAGAAAACCATCGCCCCCAATTAGGGAGACATCTTATATAACATTCTACTGTAAAAATTATGCTAAATTTACTATGGCAGGACGCCACCTGTAAGAAGCCATTGTCAAGTAATTATTTATAAAATGACCAGGAAATTATTGCCTTCATTGTATCTTAAATATCCGTTGTGCATTCGCAAAAAAAAGGCAATTGCAACTTGTATAATTACTACCAATTCAGAGTCATGTACTTATATATCTGTTATATCTATGTGACTCTGATGGGTTAGTATTATACCCCTTTAAGAATATCTTATTATTTCACATACACTTTTTAAATTACACCAAAGTGGTTGGGCCACTTACCTTTTATATCCTATCTCTCTCCCTCCTCCCACCCTTTTCCAATATTTCTGTCCTTACCCATCCTTCTTCCTTACCCATCCTTCTTCCTTACCCATCTTACCAAAGCTCTGGTCATAAGAAGAAGATAATCTGGAAAGCAATGTCGTTGAGGCAGGATCCATCCTTAGCTTTAAGAAGAGGTATGATAAAGCTAGTGAAGGAAGGAGAGAGTGGACCTAGTAGTTACCAGTGAAGAGGCAGGGCCTGGAGCTATGACTCGGCCCCCTCCAACCAGAGTTAGGTGAATTAGGCGAGTACACATATGCACACACATGTTAATACAAATAAACATGCCCACTCACCAGTACACACACAGGAGCTACGATTCAACCCATGCAACCACAAATAGGTGAGTACACATACACGCATCTTTTCACACACATCCACTCACACATACACAACAAAAGTACTCATACACCCACTCTTACACACAAAGCATACAGCTCATGGTAACTAGCATATTATAAAAATAAATGTAATTCCAGAAAGTAGGATGAAGAGGCAGGGGAACCAAAGAAGATTGGTCTGAGAAAGAACTAACGACTACAGGGCTCGAGAGGTCAATGAAACGAGTGGGAGAAAAGCTAAACAAGTTTAGCAACTCACTGGTGAAGAGGATTGCTGAAGGGAGCAAATAGTGGGAGCAACAAGGTGAAGCCAAAGAGGCTAGGATACAGAGCCTAGAAGAGTGACTGAAAATGCTAAAGCAGAATATGGAACTGAGGAACGAAATGGACATGGCACTGGGAACAGGAATATCAGTGGACCATGAGGGATGAACATTAAAATGGAGCTGAAGGAAGGAAGGTGATAAGAAGTCCTTTGCAGAAGTGCAATCAGGCCACCAAGTGGTCAAGGAATTGCCAAGGAAAACAGCAATGAAGATGCTTAAATTATACCAAGAGATATAAAGAGAAAAGAAATGGGAAGAGTAGTGGGAGAGGTCAATAATTATTCAGGGGCTTCAGGAGGTTAAAGGGAGGACATACAAAGAAGACGACAGGAAGGGACAAAGGAGACTGAAAATATCATCAAACAGGAGAGAAGGATACAACCGACCTGATAAATTTTCAAAACACAGTATTGGAAAAGAAGCTGAAGGCATGATATTCTATTGAAGACAGGATAACAAGTTTGAGGAGTGGCATAAACAATTCATGAAGGCATCATCAGACACCATAACAATCAAGGAAGCAAAGCTCATGGGGATGGTAACAGACGTGATCTTCCCAATTGGGTATCAGATCCTGAGGAAGGACAGAAGGAACAGAGGGTCCCAAGCTGGTGATAGCGGTGATGTACAACCCGCCACAGCTTAGCTAGAGACCAAGACAAGAAAATGAGAGCAGCATAGCAATGGTAGACATACTAACTGATATGGCCAGAAAGATTCACATGTGCAGGGCAAAGTTACTAGTTATGTGGAATTTTAACCACAAAGAGATTGGGAAAACCTGGAGCCATTAGGAGGAACAGAAACATGGCGGGCTAAGATACTGGAGGCAGTATTGGAAAACAAAGTTCACACTGCGTAGTACGCTCCTTTGTAAAGTAGTGTGGCGAGTTTCAGTGCGTTGGTCATTCCACTGATTAGATGGACAGTTTTTTTTTTATTCTGGAATTGCGTTGTGATTTTTTTGTGTAACGGAATGGAATCTTTAAAAGAAAAATCCTTGTGAGTGTGAAATTCTGTTTCAAGCTCAGTATAACGGCTAGTGATACAAAATACTTAAGCAAGCATTTGGCGACGAAGCAGTGTGTTAGACAGTGTGTTTTTGAATGGTTTCCTCTATTCAAAACAAGGTGAATTTCATTTGAGGATGGTGAATGTTCTGGTCGTACATCAACGTTAAAAATCAGACACCAACACTGAAAAAGTGAAGAAAGCTGTTCACGAAGATTATCGTCGTGGTATCCAGAACATTGCAAATGCTGTGGAAACTTCTCATGGGTCGTGTCAAAGTATTTTGACTGAAAATTTTAACATGATGAAAGTAGCCGTGAAGTTTGAGCCCCGCTTCTTGACTCAAGAACATAAATACCATTGTTTTTTGGCCAAAAACAGCATGAGAGTCTCCCTCCACCTTTCTTACTTCCCAAATCGAGCCTTCTTCCCAAAAATAAAAATGACACTCAAGGAGCGGCTTATTAACGAGGTGGAGGAGATTCAAACAAAATCGCAGGCTTCATTAGTCACTGATAAGAAAGAAAAGTTCCCTAAATGTTTCAAGTGGCAGAGGCGCTGGAATCAGTGTACAGCCTCGTAAGGACAGCACTTCGAGGGAGACAACTTCAACTATTCTATTCCTCAGTATGTAGTAAATCATATTTTGAATCCACAAGCAAAACTAATAAACATATAATTCGTAGAGAGGGAGAGGGGCGTGGGGAAGGGGCAGGGACGATTGAACATCTGCACCATTCAGTGTAACATCCATAAACATTTCGTGAACTTTCAAAATGCCAAGTTTGGCATAATAGAATCTGACGAACGTCGTATACACATGCCTGTTTTGGATCACCTCTCGTCACTGCTAACACCGTCGTTCAAAATACAAGCAGTTTTATGATTTACGAAATACATGCCAAACCAAAATACAGCCATCAACTAGCTGACCTGACCCACAATTTAAACTGAGCTTTTCGCTCTCTGAGTGGCGAAACGTCTCATTAATGAATGTTCTAGTTACTATATGTGTGTCTTACACTCTTGTTGGTATTAATCACCTTTGGTTACCTCGGAGGGAGAGAGAGAGATAGGAAGAAACATCAAAGTTAAATCATACGAATATGACGTTATCATTCATCTATGATTATCAGTTTTTTTATTCTTCGTCAGAGAGAATGATAGAAATAACATAATTTACCTTGCGTACTTTCAGTACTCTCAAGCCCTTAACTAAGCAGTAGTAGACTAATATTAAAGCACATACATACCAGCCATTGTTAATTGTGTTAACACGTATAGTCATTCACAAGTAAATAGTATTTGCTACGTCGATGAGATACCTGTGTCTCCATCGGCCCTAAATCGTCTCATTTCCCACGCAGCCAACTGCACATTGTAGCATAAAAAAAAATTTTCACACATTTGTACACCTACTGAACTACCTACGTTGTTTTAATCATAAATACAGAGATACATAGCTCCATTTTCACTAAACAACTTTCACATTTTCAGACTGAGAATCTTGATACAAAAAAGATGGCGTGTTTGATGCTCTTCTCCTCTGGTACTACAGGTCTGCCGAAGGGCGTCATGCTGTCTCATCGCAACATTATTGTATCTAATCTTCGTTACATGTGAGTTGCAAGATCCCAGACATTGTCTTCACAAATGTAAAGTCACTCACTGCCCTTTCACTAATCCCATCTCAATCCCTCTCATATATCTGCACTCTCCAAACTCCCTAACAACTGTGCTGTTGAATCATATCCCCATCCCTAAAATTTCTATTTCCAACAGTAATACCCATTCCCAGTAACCTAAACTGAACAAAAGGCAGGAATAGAGTAACACACAAATAATGAGAGATTTAGTAGCAGGGATAATGTGCTTGATAGTGCGACCAAGGAATCTTCTAGGAAATGACCTAATTAGGGAGGTGTTAGGTGAATTTTGGAAAAAAAAAAAGTTAAGAAGTCAAGCTCTTGATGTTTTTCCCCCCTCAAGGAAGGTTCTTGATGCTGGTAAGGGGCTCTTGATCTAGGAAATTGGATCTGTGCTCCAGTTCCCTGAATTAAGCCTGAATACCTTCCAGCGAGGGGCTTTGACTTCCAGCAAGCATGTGTGAGCGTGTTTGATAGGAGCGAATGGAGACAAATGGTTTTTATGACTTGATGTGCTGTTGGAGTGTGAGCAAGGTAACATTTATGAAGGGATTCTGGGAAACCGGCAGGCCGGACTTGAGTCCTGGAGAAGGGTGTTAATGTTGCAGTTTTATAACTGTAGTGTGAGCGCACCTCTGGCAAGACAATCATGGAGTGAATGATGATGAAAGTTGTTTTTCGGGCCACAATGCCTTGGTGGGAGACGACCGATGTGTTAATAAATAATGAAATATATAATAGCCTTCCACATCCCCAATGAAATGTGGAAGGTATTTCCCCCCTTGATTATAATAATAAAATCTTGATGTTTTCAACTCTTGGTCCTCAAGTCGACGTATACCTTTCTTCTGTCGACGTGTAGCTTGTTTCTGTCAAGTCGTGATTAGAGTGCTCTCCGTTCTTAGCGACCTGAGATTGTGATGACGGCTAAATTTTCAGCTCAAGGCAGTGTTAACTGAAGCATGAAGAGAAATTCAATGACTAAAGGGTATGTGCAGGGATTATCCCTTGAATGTCGTCGATGATCGGACCAACGAATGAATTTTAGTTGGCAGTGAAGGAACAAAGCTGAAGCTGAAGAAATTCCAGGAGACTGTTGAGAAAATCAGCAGTTCTTTTTCCTTGTTATCAGACGAATGTGAATCAACCATCCAAGACTTTCCAATAAAGATAGTTCCAGCAAGGGCATTGTTAAGGACACAGCGAAGCCTGCCAGTGAAGACAGCCCAGTGAAGATCATCTCTGCGAAGACCATTGAGAATGTCATGCACACCGCCAGTCAAGGTAAGAACATTGTTTTAGTTGGGGACACTCAGATTAAGTTTATGAGATAAGGAGGCAGAGGGCGTGTTTTCCGGGGGCTGGGATGGAGGATATTGTTAGCAGTATCAACAACATCATGAGAGTAATCGGAGCAATTGTATTATTTGTCTCAGAACTGGAGGCAACTATGTTGGCAGATGTAGGAGTAACAACCTGATTAACAGGCATAGGTCAGTGATAGACATAATTAAGAAGGGTGGGAGACCTGTGATATGTGGCATTTTGCCGAGGAGAGGAGTAACTGGTGTCAGTTGCTGGGTGGACACTGTAAGGAAAATGAAGTAACATTCTTAGAAAATTGGGTCTTCTTCTTTGGCAGAAATGGCATGCATGCCAGGGATTGGGTTCACTTATCCAGGTCTGGTGAGGGGCCACTGGCCAGTGCAGTGGAGGGAGCTAACTAGAAATAGTGGTATGGGATTTTGTGAGAAAGCAATGGGGTCTCAGTGTTGTGATACTGTAATGTGCTGTTGACCTCTTGTGACATGCCCATGACCTGTGATGTGCCCATGACCTCTTGTGATGTGCCCATGACCTACTGTAATATGCTCATGACCTCCTGTGATGTGCACATGACCTCCTGTGATTTGCCCATGGCCTCCTGTGATATGCTCATGACCTCTTGTGATGTGCTCATGACCTCTTGTGATGTGCCTGCCCATACCTCTTGTGATGTGCCTGCCCATGACCTCCTGTGATGTGTCGTTGGCTTGTGTTGCACCCAAGACGTCCTGTGATGAGCCCATGACTCCTATGATGTGCACATAACCTCCTATGATGTGCCCATGAACTCCTGCCATGAGCTAATGACCTCCTGTGATGTGCCCTTGACCTGTGATGTGCCCCTGACCTCCTGTGATATGCCCATGAACTCCTTTGATGAGTTAATGACCTGTGATGTGCCCATGACCTGTGATGTGCTCATGACCTCCTGTGATGTGTCGTTGGCCTGAGTTACGCCCAAGACATCCTGTGATGAGCCCATGACCTCCTATGATGTGCACATGACCTCCTGTGATGTGCCCATGACCTGTGATGTGCCCATGACCTACTGTGATGTGCCCATGAACTCCTGTGATGAGCTCATGACCTCCTGTAATGTGCCCATGACTTATGATGTGCCCATGACCTGTCATGACCTCCTGTGATGGGCCCATGAACTCCTGCGATGTGCACATGACTTTCTGTGATGTGCCCATGAACTCCTGTGATGTGCACATGACCTCCTGTGATATGCCCATGACATCCTGTGATGTGCACATGACCTTCCATGATGTGCCCATGACCTCTTCTGATGTTCCCATGACCTCCTGTGATGTGCCACTGACCCCTTGTGTTGAGAAATGGTACAACTAAGGTTAAAGATTAAATAGAGGGGGAACTTAGCTTGATAGACAGCTCTCGCCTACACAGCTGCCCCTGCAGGCGAGGTCTTGAGAAGCTGTCGTAGCCACTTCTCAATGGGCTGGAAAAGAAATATATTAGAAATAAATTACCCCTAGGGGGTATTATGTCAGCATATTTCGTTCACTGATTGCTGACTGGAAAACTTACGTGTGTTGACTCTAAGGTCAACTCCTCACCGGGGTTTATGGTAAGTTACTAATTCATAACTTTGTACTCAACTGAAGTCAGTCGTACTAATTACGTCTTAGTACACTTACCTGGGTATATGTATCTGACCCGCAGTTACACCCAGATATCTGATGACTTGATTGAAGAATAGTGCTCTTTGAAGAATGTCACACTACACTCTGTTGGTTCGCAACAATCGTTACACTGTTCATGAAGATTTATTCATTTATTCACAATCTGTGCAAGAATGGTACATAATACCGACAAGATGAAATTAAGACACATGTGCAACATCTGATGTTGAACATGTGTCTTAATTTCATCTTGTCGGTATTATGTACCATTCTTGCACAACTTGTCAGACACTGCAACATCATGGAATCTTGATTCTGAGGACATGTACATAACCTTCACGACTACGACAACTACTACTAAAACTGACCCATCTCTTTGGGAAGGACCTACTTCCACTGGGGAATCCCGCCTACCAGTGACTATGCTCTCGTCTGCTACACCTGACGTTAGTATATAAGCGCCAGGTTCCTTGCTTTTGCTTCAGAATCCCCACGACTACCGTGCTCTTCGCACCTACTCCAAGGCTGAGGGACTGATTACCTCATCTTCTGTATATAGTCCTACTGTCTTCAAGTTGTCCTGGAATTTGTATTGATAAAGCCACTGGATGGGGAAACGTCTACAATAAAGTTACCCAGATGTTGCATATGTGTCTTAATTATTCACAATCTGTTTACTAAAGAAGCTGATCACACTTCTCTGTAAGTGTTTATTGTGTTTTTTGAGACACTTTGTTCACATTAACGCACGGATCAGTTTTCTTTGTTGGTTATTCCGGCGTCAGTGTGAGTACCAGTAGGGTCAAAGTTAATCTAACCTCACAGCGTCTCCCCCTCACCTCGCTTGTCCCCAGCATAAAGGAAAAGCTGACCTAGCATTTTTCCCCCTCTTTGCAAAACTTCCACTATGAAGTGAAGCAGAATGCTTGATTCTTCCTATCTTAAGCATAGACAACAATGTACACTATCTTTACCATGGTAATAAAGTGGGAGCAAGATTTTTCTTAATTGTCCTGCTAAGGTAACAGATGGATTGTCTCTCATAACTAAACTACTTGCAACATTGGACTCTTGCATGACCACGTCACATGCTCGTACTGCATCTGGGATCAATTACTTGATATAGCAGTAAACAAGAAGCTTGCCCCTTCTGAGAGGACTGGACCCCTCAGGGCTGAAGGGAGCTGATGCCCCCGTCCTGAAGAAAATTTCTCCACATCTTGTGATGTACCCATGACCTCCTGTGATGTGTACATGACCTCTTGTGATGTGCACATGAACTCCTGTGATGTGCCCATGACCTCCTGTGATGTGCCCATTATCTTCTGTGATGTGCACATGACCTCCTGTGATGTGCCCATGGCCTCCTGTGATATGTCCATGACCTGTGATGTGCCCATAACCTCCTGTGATGTGCACATGACCTCCTGTGATGTACCCATGACCTCCTGTGATGTGCTCATGACCTGTGATGTGCTCATGACCTGTGATGTGCACATGACCTCCTGTGATGTACCCATGACCTCCTGTGATGTGCCCATGATCTTCTGTGATGTGCCCATGACCTCCTGTGATGTGCACATGGCCTCCTGTGATGAACCCATGACCTCCTGTGATGTGCCCATGACCTCCTGTGATGTGCACATGACCTCCTGCGATGTACCTATGACCTCCTGTGATGTGCCCATGACCTCCTGTGATGTGCACATGACCTGTGATGTGCCCATGACCTCCTGTGATGTACCCATGATCTTCTGTGATGTGCCCATGATATCATAGGGGTTCTTAAAAGGAGATATCGAGGGTTGAAGGTAGACACACTTGTTGGATGGTAACAATATATTGTCAGACTGTGATGATGGGAATGGAGCCCAGCCTCTGCCTTGTCCTAGCCTGTGTCAAACGCCGACTGAGGCCGAGGTAACTCGCCTCACACTCAAGCTGCACCCCGTGACGTCATACAAACAGTCACAGGCCTAGGGATCTCCTATCTAAAGCACATGGATGATACTGATATGCTATACAACACAGG